CCCTTTTGCTCCAGAATTTCGCCACTCAAATTTAGAGTGTAATTTAAGCGATCCCTCCGAATTAGCCTCGCAGTTTTCTATGTCAGAATTAAAAGGCATATTATCATATCTGGGGAGGATGGTATTATATACTCTTTTATTTCAAATTTAGACGAAAAAATTTTGTATTACTTTTTAAATCTTTTAAATTCCATAATAGCAACTAGCAATATACCAAAGTCTTGGCAAACGCAGGAAATCATTGCTATTCTTAAACCCGGGAAACTTTCTACTGAGGCCACATCTTACAGGCCAATAGCATTATCATCTGTAATAGGTAAGCTTGCAGAACATTTAGTGAAAAACCGGCTTGAATGGCTTGCTGAAAACAAAAATATAATAGCAAGCAGTCAATTTGGTTTTAGGAAAGGAAGAGGTACGATAGATAGCTTGAGTATTTTAACTACTGATATAAGACTGGCGTTCACAAATAATAATTTCCTTCTATCTGTGTTTTTAGACATAAATTCTGCATATGATAGTGTTCTTCCGCATCTGTTACGGCAGAAATTAATTGATTTAAAAGTTCCAAAAATATGCATTGACTTCATTTATAACATGTTATATGAGAGGACTATACATATTTTTTTTAGAAAATAGACATAAAATATCCAGGACGACTTGGAAAGCATTACCCCAGGGCTCTGTTCTTAGTCCGTTACTCTATAATATATACACTTATGATTTAGAACATTTCCTTAATGGGTCTGCAAATATTCTACAGTATGCAGATGATTTACTTCTGTATGTTTCGGATGAATCTGCTCATAAAGCTTGTGAGTGCTTAAATTACTCTTTGCGTCTGTTGAGTATTTGGAGTGAATCAAATGGTCTTGAATTGTCTGCCTCTAAAAGTACCACTGTAATATTTTCCAGAAAACGTGTTCTTCCAAAAATGCACATTTCTTATAAAAATAGTCCAATTCCAGTTAAGAATAATGCAAAATTTTTTGGTCTAATATTGGACTCAAAACTTACTGGCATTCCGCATTTCGATTATGTAGTAGCAAAATGTGAACGTCAACTAAGTATGTTAAGATGCCTTTCTGGTGTATGGTGGGGTGTGCACCCCATCTCCTTAAAGTTAGTTTACAACGCTATCATTAGAAGCATTGTAGATTATGGTACATTTTTATTGGAACCTTGTAACGCATCTGGTCTTAAAAAAATCGATTTAATTAAAATCAAAAGCTTTACGAATAATATCTGGTGCAATGAAATCCAGTCCCATTAATGCTCTTCAATTAGAATGTTGAAGATTCCTGTTTCGTTGTTTACAAATTTTAAACCATCCTCTAATAACAAAACTACAAACCTTATGTCAAGTCATTAATTCATCTTCGTATTGGAAATTCAAGGAATTGCCATGTCTTGTTAAAAGTTACCAAAAATATCTTGCTATTGAAGCCCCCATGTATCGTTCCAAAACTCTTCCACTGTTTGAAACCGATTATAAAATCTTGACTCTTACACCCTCCATAAAACTCAATGTTGGAATAAAAAAAGATGAAATAGAAATTCATACAGCTTTCAAATTCATTATTGAAAATAACTGGGAGAATTGGCACTATATATATAGTGATGCTTCTAAACATACCAATAATAGTTGTGTTGGGGTTGGAGTATTTCATTCTCAGTATAATATTGTACAAAAAATTAAATTACCTCCCGAATCATCAGTATTTACTGGGGAATGTTTTGGTCTATTTCGCGCAGTAGAATATATATTATTAACAAACTTATGTAAAGCTATAATTTTTACGGACTCTCTAAGTTCTTTACAAACATTAGCACATTTTCCGCTTAAATCAAAATGCCAATATCCTATAATTTTAGAAATAAGAAAATTGTTATACAAATACCAAGTTAAAAACATTACAGTAGTTTTTGCATGGATTCCCGGGCATAGCGGCATTAAAGGAAATGAAAAGGCAGACGAGTTAGCAAATGAAGCCGTGTTAAGCGGTGATATATATCCTTACACTAATTATTGTCACGATCTTCTTTCCTTATCGAAGCGATATTTGAAAGAGTCCTGGGAACATTACTGGACATCTCCTAGCCTAGTGAAAGGAAAATTCTACTCCTCAATTCAACCGACAATTCCAAATAAGCCTCGGTACACTCAAGTCAATTTAAATAAATATTGTACTAGTTCTTTAATTCGTTTGCGATTAGGTCATTGCTGATCTCCGTCTTTTCTGTTTAAGATTCATGTTGTAGATACTTCTTTATGTGCTTGTGGAACGGAAGAAGGAAATTTGAACCATTTTTCCTTTCTTGTCCATTATATGACCGCTCCTCTCTTTTTACTGATCTTCTATTGCTCCGGATACCTTTTCCTATTAATATACCATTCCTTTTAGCATATAACGACCCTTGTGTATATAAAACATTAGCTTCATTTATTCCGAAAAATGCTATAAAACTATAGTATAATTTGGGTAATAGGTATATATATATATATATATATATATATATATATATATATATATACATATATATATATATATGTGTGTGTGTGTGTATATATGTATATATATTATGTGTATTTGTGTAAATACGATATTAATAAAAATAAATATTCTGTAATTAATAATACTTTATCACATTGAATATATGTATCGTAAATCTTCTTGATTATTTTCCTTTTTCCAAATTCCGCTTCCTAGTCCTGTTGAAATAAATTTATATTTCAACAAAACCACTGTTTCCTTCCTTTTACTTGTCATTGGCATAAAGGATAACAAAATGCCACAATAACGCAACCTGGTTGGAAGTCGCATTAGAAGTTTCATTTCAACTAATCGTACTATTAGACAACTATTAGGTCATAAAATCTTTATTAAATGAGTGCAATGTGCAAAGTGATAAACGTACGATACGTGAACGTGCTAGTATCATAATTATCTATATTTGTATATAAATATCATGGATGATTCCGCTGAATCATCTACAACAATATATTTTCTTTAGTTCGACAGTTTCATTCCGCTAGTAAATGGCTAAATATTATTCATCGTTGCACGAATGGGCAGGTCCATCCGGGTACCACGACCTCAAAGAAGACTGACGTGAATTGGAAGTGTAATACTTTTGCGTTTCGTCAGGGGAATTTGATCCCGCTTAATTAAAAGGTGGCAACGCGTCTGCATCCATCTGCATACGGGTGTTGCAAATGTCAATTGGCGGCGGTTATTACTATCGGGTGAACTGGCTGCAACTTCACGCAGAAAAAAATGGAACTTAACATCTAATTGACGACCCGAATGGCGTTGTGGGTAGTGTACCCGCCTCCTGCGCCAGAGGGTGTTGGTTCGATCCCCACTACTGGAAAAATTGATTGATTGAACTCCACAGTGGCATATAAAAGCTTAGAACTCTTCTCTTTGCTGGTAACCATCAACAGTCAAGGGGTTTGTGGTCAGGGCCCCTTCGTGACCACATACTTACCTGGTGAAATCGTCCACAGTTCTTTTGTAATTTAGCATCAATTATTCAACTATACTTAAGAGCCAAGTATACGAAAATTCTCAAACCATAAGCTCAGGTCAATCCTTCCCATTTTTGTTGTAATCAGTTCTTGATTCAGTGCGTACGATAAAAATTTTCGCTTTCGGTATTTGAGTTTGATTGGCCATGTCATCAGAAATTTGCACCTTGAGTTGAAGTAATTCACAGCATTATACATGCGTTCGTCATTTACCCATAATATGTTGTCTACAATATACACTACCTACCTAATTAAAGTATATGACACCCCCTTGCCGCGCCTACCGCTGTATCGCGCTATGTTGTGGGCTTCTAGTCACTGTGTATCTTATGGTTGGTACTGGTCACATTAGAGGCGAATTTGCTTTGGACGACCAGTTTTTTCAGATTTTCTTGAGGGCCGAGCTTGCAAGATTTATAAGCTTAAGATGTAATGGGTCTTGTGAAAACGTTCGTTAAGACTGTCGGTTTCACTAAAATATTTGTCCTTAATCTCTCACGGCTTCGCCACGGAACGGTTTTGGTTTTTATGCGTGCCCTGGATTTGCATAGCGTCAGTGCACTTTGCAGGCGTTTATTTAAGTTTTTTTACTGTTAATATGAATAACTATGTATATATTTATCTACTCCTAAAGCTCTTCATACGATGACATACCTTTAATAAATTTCAGAAATAGTGAGCGCGTCAACCAATTCTATACGTAATTTATGTCAATGCAGGTCATAAAATCATAAATTTCTATTTAGAGCTTTAGGAGTGGATAAATATGGACACAATTCAAAATTTGCGTCGAACTGAGAGCAAAATACACTTATTACTAATTATTGTGAAATAACATAATTATGTTATATGATTGCCATACGTTAATAATCTAATTTATTCCACATTTAGCTTTTGGTAGATAATTAGAGCCGTGATAGCTCAGTGTACCGGCGCTCTCCTTTAATTCAATATACTCGAGCAACCTAAGTTCGATCCCCGGTGCAAGCTCCAATGAAATTGTTAATTTTAAGTGCTGACTTATCACGTGCTCGTCGGTGAAGGGAAACATCGAAAGGAAACCTGCATATTTTCGAAATAATAAAAAAAGTATTTCGAAAAATATGTGCCCTGATCCCTCTTTACAGAGGAGGCCTATACATTCTCAGCAGTGGGACATTTATAGGCTGTAACTTAACTGTTTTTTATCTTTTGACCTTAATATTTTGGCTAAATATCAAATATCATTTTGATATTTACGAAAAATATTATACTAACTAACATGAATAAAATTTAAGTATGATTAAGTTCAATTGATTGAAGATTACAAGGTACTGTTTTTTGATTCTTAAAAATAAAGGCTCCTGTAATTATTACGCCTAAAAAGCAAAATTTTATTTTATTTAGTTTAAAAAACCAAAATAACTGTTTTTATGCCATGAAAATTTTATTGGACTGAAAAGAATACTTAAATATAGTAAAGAAATTATGATTTAGGAGGTTGTTTCTTGGCAGCTTCAGCCTCTGCCTCACTCTTTTCAAAGTCGGTGATAAGCTTTTCTACTTCTGAACTTGTCAAAACTCTGATTATCGTTTTGTTATCCTTACGAGTTAGAGTAGCCATTTCAACTGTAAAAAAAACCAAAATAATTAAAGAAAATTATAAATGATGATATGGTTTTAGAAGTATTATTTATTGTAATAGTTAAAAAATTATGATTGGTATTTAAAGCCTATTGTTTGGCCAAGGTATTCAAGACCAAAGGTTTGCAGTCCGGCTACACAGGCCTAGCGTGGACTCTACATAATTCTCTCTACATCATTGATTTTTTTAATATTTCAACAATATGCAAGTTTCTTCATCACATCCTTCTCTGGTGAGCATGTGGTAACTCAATACTTAACATTGTAATAAACAATTTTATTGGTCCCAGCGTCTCAAATTCAAATTAGGTTACTTGGTTATACCAAATTTTACATAAACATGTTGTATAATGACTCATTATACAAGGGTACTCATTATTAATGAGTTACTAAAGCTCTTTTATACATTGAGAATTTTAAAGAATTGGACCCCTGCTTACTTATTTGTGAAAATTAGAAGCTATGTGATATATAATCTCAAACATCTATACAAAGTAGTTTTATTTATTGCAATGCATGAACATAATTGTTCTCTTTGAATGTAATAAAATATAAATTTTTGACTTGATTCTCACATTTCCGGAATAATCTGAACGATAATTGAAAAGTTACCCTACTGTTACAATGTTTGAGATATAATTATAATATTAGAAAATGATATTTACCCTTCTCTGGTGTCAGTTTGGTCATATCTAGAGTTTTACTTAGAACCTTGACTGCTAATGCTTGAGCTTCAGCTAAAGTTGTCTCATTCTCTTTGTATTCCTGTTTGAGACTAGACACTGCAGCCTAAAAATATATCAATATATACTCACAATGTGAAACTTTAAATTTTGAGGTCAAAAATTCAATCTTAGACTATTAACAAAAGAATTTGGCAAACATGCAATTTATGGTAAGTGGTCACTGCTGCTCAAGAATTTTCAAAACACAAAATTCAGCTGGCTAATTTATGTGGCATCAGAAGATATTGTGCAGGTTTACCATTACTAGGACAGCATAAGTTCATAAATCATTAGCAGTTATTTGGATAATAAAACAAAGAGTTTGCTGGAAATCAGTACTCATGTCTAACATAAAACTGACAATTTAGTTGTTCCATTATTAAAAAGGTGATTATTTTTGAATGTAGAACTTACTGCACTATTGTTGCCGATACAAGTAGCTTTCCATCCTCCATAGTTGCCACTTGGATCCGATTGATACAGCTGGTAGCCATAGTGTTTATCCCAACCCATATATAAAATTGACACTCCAAATGGCCGTTTACCTAAAATCAAATGAGTTTATGTACAAAATGAAGTGAGTGAAATAAATAAAGGTTTTTAACATATCTTGCTCTACCCAATTAGGGCTACCAATATAATAGATGAAAGAATGAAACTGTCTCTAAATTGTTTCATATTGAAATTCAAGTGGAGCAACTGGCAAAAAGAACAAAGCAATATTTAAGTCTTATAATTAAAATTAAAAAAAAAAAACTTTTTAAGTACCAGTAATTCAAAATAAGATTAGTAGTAAGACTTACCTCCATATTGTGTATAAGCTTGTTTAACATCACACAGCCAGGATACAAGTTGTTCACATGGGATAGATTCTCCATATTGTAGAAGATACCTTTGAGCAATAAGGCGCAACTCATTAGTTAAAACGTTCGCATCAGATGTGATGCCGGCGACAGAACAGACCATGTCGTCGTTTAACTTGTAGATTTTTTCAGAGAAGAACACTTCATCAAGTAATTTGTTGGTGTTCCTGCGTTCGGCGGCAAGTAATATTCCGTCTGTTGCCAAAATGCCGAGAGATGTTCCGGCATGACTGATTGCTTCCATAGCATACTCAACTTGGTACAGCCTGCCTGTGAGGAAAGAAAAATAGTATTGGTAATTTGGTAGCACACGAAATGTTTTCAAGTTGAATTACATGGATATAATTACCTTCAGGCGAAAATATTGTAGTACGTGTGTCATAACGACGAGCCTTTAAAGAAAAAGAAACTTTATTAGACCACAATGACCAAGCAAGATGTCGCTAACCTAGTAATATTTGGAAGAGGTATTAATATTAAACCTATCAATGTTTTGACTACGACTCTTACCATCTTTTATGAATTTCAAATTTATTTAATGGTAAAGTATTGAAGATATTCAACAAAATGTATCAACAGTTTAAAAACAGCTTCGCCGGATGACAGAGCGATGACAGTAAACTTTTCATTTTGATAGTAATTTCAAGCAGTGTGACCAGTTCCATTAAATGAGTATAACCCGTAAGCAAAGACGTTTCTACTTGTTGATTAATTCATTTGAGATTTTTCTCTATCGTTTAAAATTTATTTTAATTGAATTACGCCAAAGTTAATGTTATTTACATTTGCCCTATTAAAATTCAAAGGGCCGGATTCGGGGACTTTAATTAGTAAAAAAGTAGAGTAACAGCCTATACATGTCCCACAGCTGGGCAAAGGCCTCCTCTACACAGAGGGTATCCGGGCATATTCCACCACGCGGCCCCACTGCGGATTGGTGGACTTCACATATCTTCGAAATATATATTTTTTTGTTATTATTTCGAAAATATGCAGGTTTCCTCACGATGTTTTTCTTCACCGCGGAGCACGTGATAAGTCAGCACTTAACGTTAAAAACTTCATTGGTGCCGGCACCGGGGATCGAACTCAGGTTGCTCGAGTATATTGAATTAAAGGCGCGCGCCCGGACACTGAGCTATCACGGCTCTCCTGAGCTTTAATGAATAAATTATTAAAAATTAAATTTTTTTGAAACCCAAAATTTCTAAATTATTTCTTTTTACTTTAATTCTAAAGTAATTACAATGTATTAAATTTGCACTTTACTTTTCACACTGATTATTAATTTATACTTATGTTTACCTACTTATCATCGGTATTTGATTTTCAAATAGTCATCAAATAGCGCCGAATATTTGTCATGCGGACACAGAATTACGATTAAACTAGTCGCTCTAGCTTTGGTACTAGCATTAAGACACAACCACTACACTGAGCGAAATTAATTAGAGACTGTAAATTTAGATGTATTTGTCAAAATAGGTACTAGTTATCTACTAGTTATTATAGACATAGTATAATAGTTATACTGCACCTAATTGATATTAACCCACCTACAAATGTAATTGGATGAAGTTGAATAAAAAACAGACAAGTATTCTAGACTCATTTATTTTTAAACGAAATCATTTCAATACAGTTCCTGGAGCACTCTAGCTGCAGGAACTGTATTGAAAAGCTCCACCTTTACCTATTAAGTAAGCTTCAAGATGTTAAAAGCATAGCACGCTAGATGATGTGGGCTGCCAGTCTGGTCTCTTCATATTAGTCAACCAGGCAAGTTTCATATTTTCTTCCTTTGGAAACCTGCGCAATAGTTATGATAAGCATACATCCGAGATACCAGTTAAAATAACTGAATAAATTATTAAAAAATATTGAAATAAAATTAAAAATTACTGAATGCGGCCCATCAAAACATGCAAGTAGATAAAACGTTAAACAGCGAGTGCCAAGCGTTAAATTAATCAATTAAATAATGTAAATCGAAAGAAAATCTCTATAGTCGTAGTTTACGGCGTGTAAATTACTAATAACTTTAACCTATTTAGCCATTAATAAAAAATATCTGTGAGCCGTGATAGCTCAGTGTCTGGACAGTCGCATTTAATTTAATATACTCGAGGAACCTGAGTTAGATCCCCGGTGCCAGCACCAATGAAATTGTCAATTTTAAGTGTTGAATTATTACGAGCTCAGCAGCGAGGGAAAACAGCGTGAGGAAATCTGCATATTTTCAAAATAATAACAAAAAAAAATATTTCGATGATATGTGAAGTCGGCCAATCCGCAGTGGGGCCGCGTAGTGGACTATGCCCTGATACCCTCTGTACAGAAGAGGCCTTTTCCCAGCAGTGGGACCTGTGTAGGCTGATACTTTTATCGCTGTGAGCATACTAGAATTAATAAAAGGCACTAAATTCTAACGGGTGGAAAGTGATTTCAGCTGCTTTCTTATAAGTTGCGTTGCCACACTGCACAAGGCGCACTGCACTTCACCATCCTCTTTCAGTTTTTAACACGTAAACACAACAATTCGCAGAAAATAAAAGCAAAAGAAAACACTTGTTATTTGTTTCGACGCCATATGTCACTCATATTTCAGATATCTATAAGTACTCTTTGATTGTATTTTCACACTGCTATGTCATGCAGAGTTAATATAATTTCAACTTAGCTTGGTTTAATATGTTGAAATATAACTAACAGCGTTTGAGAATTAATAGTGTTCATTGGCGTATTCATTAAAAACCGCCTAAAAAGAAAAGAAGAAGATGTACTCCTTGATGTCACTTATTTGCAGCTTAACAAAATGGCAAAATTTGCTTCATTTAAAATTTATCTATGTGTGTGTTCATGTTGCAACAGCAGAAAGAAAGAGATAACATTATTGGACTTGTAATTGGAGTAAAGGGTGTCAAGATATTAAACTATTCCTAACCATGTGTTTCTGAATTTGTGTTAAGTCTTCTTCATAAGTCTATTCCCGTAAGTTATTTTTTTATATTTTATATATTGTACACAAAAATGTATAAAAAACGATTTTAAAGGTCTTTATAAGATCACTCCCCATCACACATCTCACATCTTTATAAGATCACCTATAAGATCACTCTCTTGTCCGTCTGTCTGTCCGTGTGTCACCACTTTCTCAGGAATGAGAGGACCTAGCAAGTTGAAATTTATACCAGATACTGAGGTATATAATCCCTCCCAGGTCCTGAGTCAATATGATTAAAAGATATGGGAAAATTTAGATTTCTACGAAAACTTGTAAGCACCATTTACTTTACTGATTTATTTCCTTTACTGCTGCTTGCTTTTTGGCAAATTTCGTGATTCTAGTCAACGAGTTATACAGCATGTCGTTACAACCGCGACAATAAATGAACACACGTCTAACGCTACTTGCCAATAATTATAAAAAAATATTACATTAAAAATATCCATAATTAAAAAAAATGTTTTTGAAACAAACTAATTGGGTAAAAAAGAAACAAAATTTGTAACATCCTATACAACTACAACTGACTGATTCATACATTCATACTTTAAAGTCATTCAACCCATTCATATGCTTTGTGACCTTTACAAATGAACTTTACGTTACAGTTTTATACGTAAGGCTGTTCTAAAATTGTTTGTTTTGGAAAATTTAATAACTCGGTAAATAATGATGTTTAAAGAATGTAAATGTTTAATAACAATTTTAAAAAGTTATCCTCTATATGTGTTTTCATTTATTGTCGCGATTGTAAAGACACGCTGTATAGCGTTTCGACGTCCTTTTAAGGTACGGAACTCTAAAAAGATCTCGCTAGACATATATATCATCAGACATATAGATCGTACAGGCAACCCCGGCGCGAATATGACCTTCTCAAACCCGAGTGCAGCGGCAAACATCTGCTAGTGGGAAAGCACGGGGCTCACTATCACGGGAAAGGTTGCAGAAGTAGGCCGGCCGGTTCTTGTGTCCGGCAGACATCAGAACGCGTATACTTGAGAAAATAAAACTCGTAGTACTCTACAAAAATATCCTAGATATCATATTACTAAACTACTTTACATTCGCCCGTATCACATCAATTAAAGTCTGAATACAATATTTTGTCCGCATTAAACGCCAAGCTGGATATTTTTAACAATTGTTTTAATATTTAAAAAAAAACTTTTTTAGCGTGTTAGAATTTAAATTTACTAATCTGTGAGCATACTCGTTGTCTTGTGGAAGTTTTAAATCAATTTTCTCATTAAATAACTAGGTAAATAAATAAATCGGTAATATTCTCGTAAATAAAATAAGTTATTAATAGCTAATATATATTTTAGAAGAAGAAGCTGCTTGTAGGTACACAAAACAAATTTCGTCATTATTTCTCTAGATTGAATCAAGATATGAATTTGTCTATCGATAACATGTTAGATATCAAACCCAATGACAATACAATAAATTGATCTTAAAAGAAACAGGCCCTAATGCAATCTCTGATATTTTTACTTTTATTTCTGTGTATAATAAATAAAAGTTAATATTACAGAAACCGAAATGTTCCGTAAGAATTACCAAGTGAAGAAAACTTTATTGTCATTTGCAATAATCGAAAGAAGAAATTTTACAAAAAAAGTTTTAAAAATTAATTTGATATTATTTGTGTGCTTTAAAAGTCGTTATTTATATCATACAAAAATATTGAAAATAAAATAAAAAAAATATAAAAAAGTAACTTTATTAAAAAAACAATCGCCTCAAACGTATAAGTCCACTTAATCTACTTAGTATTATTATGCTTCTATAACAATACCAGTAACCGTACTATAATCTTAGTAAAACACATTCCATGACTTTCCAATAGACAAAAAATTCCACCATATGCGAGCCCTTCAACACAAGTGAACTTGAATACGACCAGTCATGTAGTAAAATTTTTATGTACTTCGTAATTAAGGAATTACGTATAAAAATTTAGGTAACCATTCACCTTCACGCATATCGTTATTACAGTGTAAATAGATAATCTGCTAATAATATTTAACAATAAAACAAACGAAACACAAATGTGATTAGACGCGCCCAAACGTACACATAAAATGAAAATGGAATACTTAATTTATTGTAGGATTTTTTTAATTACGCATTGCTGTGACCGTCTGTAGAGCCACTTAGTTCTTGCAGTCACATTGTATTGCGTGTAGTGGACACTAAATCCACAATAGGTTGGATTACCACGTATATCAGAATCATTACTACGAAAACCATTAGGGCTGATGACAGGCCGCCCTGAGACGCGCTGAAGTAGTCCATGTTGAATCCAATGACCATGGTGATGAGACCCATAGAGATTGCAAACAGTCCAACGGCTATGTGCAAAATCTTCACTGGCCCATTCTTAATCATTAAACGTACTTTCGATGAGAAGAGAGCTATGATGCCAGTAACAAAGCTTATCAAGGAGAATGCTAAAGCAATCACACCTGAAAACAACAAAAACGAATTAGAAGAATCGATTATTTAAGAATTTATTTTAGAGGTTATTTATCATACATTAGCCCCGTTACGTTTATGTATTGGGTTATTTACACAGATTGTGCTTTTAATACGTTGCTTGTAATTAATGGACTCGTTTCCCTGTTTTTTTTATGTGAGAAAGTGGCAAACGAGCTGGCGGTTCACCTGACGTTAAGTGATAACTGCCGCCCATGAAAATTTCAAGACCTGTAGGGTTGCAAATGCGTTGCCACCTTTAAATGAAGTGGGCCCCGGCTACCTCACGTACCAGACGAAACGTAGAAGTGTAACACTTCAATTTAACGCCGGTCTTTTGTGAGGTCGTGGTACTTACCCGGACGGACCTGCCCATTCGTGCAACAGTTTAAATATTCGCTGTGTAAAATCAGAGTTTTATCAAATTTTTATATAATAACTTATAAGTAATCCGTAAAAGTTGAGCTATACAATATTCAAATCATCGTTCAACTAAAAAAGCTTAGTTTATTAATTAAAAAATATATACTACATGTACAGGCGGTCAAGTTGATGTAAAGTGATAATCGCCATGGGTCCACCCCGTCCGTGGTGTTGCAATTGAGTTGCTGGGTCAGGTGGGCTCCGGTTACCTCACTCTTTAGACGAAATGCAAAAGCAATTTCTAAACGTGACATCTCTTCGGGGTTTTCCGGGCAATTAATACAAGAGCAGATGCTCCTCCACTCTACTATAGTACTAGAATTAGTACGTAAAGCTAGTAAACGCGAGACGTTTTTATTGTAATTAATATCCTCCTCAATGCCTTTACGGATAATAATATGATGTGTTTAAGTTAGTCGGTATTACAATTTATATACGCACAAAGTCTAATTCGTAATTCGTATTCATAATTTCACGCTATGTACATATAAATATGTTATCTGTTTTCATTTTTATTTAAATTACCATTGTCGTATATTCTATTACACACCAGTTTTATGAAACTTAGCTACCATTAGACATAAAGCTATACTGTGTAAATAAGGCTACGCTACTCGTATATGCTGTAATATTTTTTTTAATCATAAACTGACCAGTGCTTAAATATCATACCAATTGATGGTAGGTGTTGATGCAGTCTCTGATTTTAAATGTCCTAACTCAGTAGGCGGTCCGATTTGTTTTGACTTAAATGTCATTTAGCGAGGAAATGCTGCTGCGATTCTTAACACCGCGCGACAAGGAATAGTTCCATTATGTTCTTAACGAAGTAAGAAATACGGAATATTTGCGTATTTAGTAACCTAACCTAAATGTGGTAGCGCCACGCAACAATTCGCTTGCATGAATGAGAAAATCTGTTTGGGGAAGTACCACCTCACAGAAGTCCGGCGTGAAGTGGAAGTGTTCTACTTCTACATTTCATTCGGTGAGTGAGGTAGCCGGGGCCCACTTTATTAAAAAGGTGGCAATGCATTTGCAACCTTACGGGTGTTATCACTTTACATCAGGTGAGTCGGTTCACCTGATGTAGCTCGCTTGCCTCCTCACATAAAAAAAATGTATATTTTATAAGGGATGACGTCATTCCTTACGAAAGTTTAGGGTAGATAACCTTACCGCATATTCCATGTGCTGTGTTGATCTGCATGTTCGCCTCAGCCAGTCCGAGGAAGGTCCCCGCTATAACGAACACTGAACCGATCAGTTGGAGACATCCGTGTACTATCCGTTTGCTGTCTTTCGATAGCTGACTGGACCATGCGTTATGCCGGTGCACGGTGAGTACTGCTTCCACGAGAAACAATTGATACTGCAATCATTCGAACAGTTTAGGTTTCATTCAGACTTTGTCGCGTCATTAGAAATCGTAGTAAAATTTTGTCATTAGAAATTGTAGTAAATTTTTTTATTTTGAAGCATTCCAGGAGATGGTGTACTAGGCCAGGGAAGGGCTATGACTTAGCAAAGGATCGAGGTAAAATAATATCTATACGTATGCAGTAAATCTAAAAATTAGTCAAAGAAGAAACTCTTAGGTTCGTTACTCAACTGTAACCGTGCTTGGAATCGTGTCTATATGCGGAGGTGATTACTAAAAATCTGTTGGACCTCCTGCTCACTGTCCACATTCTCCCATAACAGAAAGTTGTTTAAACATTTTTAATGCTTTCAAACCATAGATTTTTCTACATGGTTGTGCTGGCGATATAGTGGCGTGATTTAATCACGATTTTTACAAGATTATTAGTTAACAAGCCACTAGTTACCTTCTTGAGATCGTTGCTTTTTTACATTTAACTCTCTATAGCGTTTAGTGGACTATTACTGTTTTGAATTTCTACAGTACATACCACTTCTTCTTTTTGCTCTGCCCTTATCTCACCTCTATGGGACGAACATGTGAACCTTGTTGTTTTTTACGACCCGGCGTCTACCTGACATCAAACTTCCGTTAGAATAAATACTCAGAACCGAAAAAATTATCTGGTCGCAAAAACACTTGTACCGCGTGAGAATCGAACCCACGAACCCCGGCGCCGAAGCCAATAGCTTAGCTACTACCCCACCGAATTATCTTCATTATTCATCTTCACCATTTTACAGTATACGACATGATATCAGTTAATTCAAGAAGCCATGCTTACTCCAGTTCCAGCGAATATAATGTGCAATTGCAGATTGCTGATGGAGCCGTTTGGCGCGGCGGTCAGAGCGAAATGCCACAGACAGAACACCACGATCGCGATCTGCATGTGATGGAGGAGGTTGAACAGTTGGCATATGGCCAGCCACGCCGAAGTCCACGATGAGTCGTACATTTCCCCGCTCTCCTGGTCATACGCGCCCGGCGCCCGCGTCAGTTCCGCCTGGTACGGGATGTGCTCCCGCACCTCGAACATCTCCACCTTCTCCACGGACTGCTGGCTGGTGCTAGGCCGGTCCATTCTTGACCGCTTGGCGACGTCGTAGGCCCCCCGAACCGTACTTGTACAGCTTCCCCCAAAGGACGCGGTCGCGTGGAATACAATCGGCTCACGCACTAAACGTTTGGCATGGCACAATTTCTTTTCAAGATAGCGCAACTTACTTCAGATAACAAGAGGAGCCGATCGCGGGCTGAGCTATCACCATGGGATTGACAGCTTCGAGATTAGCAACTTGCGTAACGGTGTGATACTGGAAGATGATGGCAGATAAATTTTGCTAGATCAGTTTTATCTGCGATCGGCTAATGTCGAAATTTCCGTCTGGTTGTCGTGAAATAACTCTTTCGCGCACAATGTTAGCACGCGACCCATATTTGATTCATATAAAAAAAAATACTTGTTTTTTTTTTTGTTGCAATAAAATGCGTCTATACTCATGTTTTATTTAATTTACTAACGAGTGTAATGTTACAAAAGGTACTTCATTAAAATTTATTATAGATATAGAGCCGTGATAGCTCAATGTCTGGGCACTCGCTTTTAATACAATATACTCGAGCAACCTGAGTTCAATCTCGGTGCCCAATGAAACTGCCATTTTTAAAATTTGTATTATCACGTGCTTAGGTGCGAAGGAAAACTTAAGAAGTAAGTAAAAAAGTAAGAAAAACTGCATATTTTCGAAATAATAACCAAAAAATATTTCGAAGATATGTGAAGTCGTTGTGAGGTTGCGTGGTGGCCTATGCCCTAATACCTTCTGTCAGAGGGGGCTCGTTTCGTTATTTAAAGGTTGTCATTTTTTATATTTTTTTAAATAAAAACCAGACATTATTTTAAAGTTAACTTTACTACTGATGTGTACACGTTTTGTGTTATTACAGCCTCAGTAATTTGTTTACGAAATTTGATGTGTTTGTGAAACTTTTACTCTTAAGTTGCAGTAATGGAAATAACTTGATAGGAATGGGTGGAACATACCTACCATTTCCGTAGTATTACTTTATGATACCTACTGTAACTATTGTATCCCATGTATTTAAAATTTGTATTAGTTAGAGCGTAGCCCAGGAGATGTCGCTTAAATGAATTTCACACTTTGTAGTTAAACTAAAAATAACACAAATAAATTAAAATTAAGAATTATCTGTTATTGTGATAGTTTTAAGTGGAAGACCCATATCTAATTTAATTTTTGTAATTTTTTACTTAAGAAAATTAAGAAGTCTGGTTTTCTGTTTTATAAAGTCGATAACTAGATGTCAGTACTTGTTTGTAATTTATATAGAGCATAACTTAAAAATATAAAAACGGAAACATATAAAAAGAAAGGAAATACTTTTTTGAAATTATTTTTTATAATAAATAATTTATATACTTTAAGTGTTGGGGAAGGCGAGTGTCCCAAAGACTGAAGTAGTGGCGGGTATTGCAGGAGACCATTATCTAGTAAAGGAATTATACCTACCTATAGAGTTTATTAAGATGATGATAGTATATAAATGTATCATTGTCTTCAACATTTAGGTAAGCAATATTAGACGTTCAGTCCAATTTGATACCTGAAGAATAATTAACTTTATTGAACCAGCCTATAACTACATCTAAAAAAATTGGAGTGCCTTCTTTAATTGGTTTTATTGAAATACGAAAACGTATTATTCTGGTTTTTAAAATATAAATTTTTCTTTGACTAATTAAATTTAATATGGACTTAAGATTTTTCAGGCGCAATTAAAAAAATATAACATGTAATTACCAGTTAATATATTACCGGTAACTAGAAATACCTTTTTTGTTATTATAATAATTGTTCGATTCACCGAACCTTTTTGTATCATATGACTTGTACAAGAGACTAACAGGTAGAGTATTTTCGTAAATGATTATTTCTTTTAAGTATAGGAAAATAATACTTTTTAAAAATAAAGCCGTAAACTTGTAGTTTTTGGGTTATACTTTTCCCTTACCATGATGGTATTATGAATGTTTAGTTCCGTGGCCTTTAAAATTACCTTCTGCCTTTGTATCAAGGAATTTTACAGAAATGGCGTTATCGTTGTGGCTGCGGTATATCTGACTTTCGATGAAAGGTTGTATATTCGAATTATATGACGTATTCATAATTGTTCTTTAAATTGTATTTCCTAGCCGCGAAAATAATTATTAAAGCCGATAGTCTCGACTTGACACGTTCTGACTAATAAACTTGGAGAAATTCTAACTCGCTCTATCCACCTCCATGTGCTGTCTTACAGTTAAAAGACGGGAGAGCTTGAAAAAACTACACAACTCTAATTGGACGCGCCTGTGCCGCCTCCAAATTAATAAGGCAGTTAATGAATTCCTACCCGGAGGCCTTTGAGCTTGAGCGAGCCGTGGCTCATTTTTCAAGTCGACACTGAGACCGTGGGGTCATGCAATGCGCTAACGGTGAAGACAAAGTGCATACGATTTACAAAGATCCAAGCATTTGACACTAAGTAGATAATCGTGTAGGCGCGATCGGCAATTCTGTTTGGTAGTTATTCAGATAAGTACCATTTAATTAGTGATTTGATTAACGCGCCTGGACTCTAAGCGTGGTTCCTCGAGGTTATCTCTGACCGTTTATGTTTGTCAATATGTTACGTGTATAAGTACCCGTGATTCTAAAATGTTGCCCGATTATGTGTTTACGAGAAGCGATGGCTTATTAGTGGGGCTGTTAAGTTTCCGGGATTCAGTCACAGCGGCTTCCAACCGCAAAATGTTGAAATCTCGATTTCTTCGTTATGAAAATCATTGTTTCATTTTAGTTAACACAACTAATTATTTCATTTGCACTTTAATAACGTTGCTTAAGATTTAAAACTTAAAGCATGTAAAGAAGAAAAAAAGTTTTAAATTTTGTACATTAGGACCAAAATAAGTGTAGAATAATTTCTACTACGAGAACAAATTAAAAACTAAGAAGTAACATCCTAATGTATTACTGTTTTTTAATTAAATATTTTTAATGTAATATTTAATTAATTTCATAGGATATTGAATAGCAATATACTAGGAACATCATGGGCTTATCTAGTCGTACCGTGTGCCTGTCTTGAAGCATTATTACAGTCCCCGGCTAGAGACGATTATAAATCGATTGTCGGCACCGGCTTCGTGTATCGATTATGGCCGATTATTGATTCTGATTTATAGCGCCATGGATACGTCCATCATCAGGTTGTTTAATAATATTATAGTTATCAAATAGTGAAAGTCGTGTTCCCACTGTAGTAAAGCGCAATTTGTATTAGTTTTTGTCTACCATACAGAGACGCCGCTATATTTATTACTGCGTACATCTATATAGCATAAGAATAATATTGAATTGATTTTATTCACAGTAGATTTTCTTGGAATAGATATGGCAACTTTATTATGGCGCTTTTCGGGGGTCGGTGTGCGCGCGCATCGTAAAAAGACCGCCAAAAGCTTGACATTGGAATCGTGTTGCGTCTAAAAAATTCTGGTATTGGTGGTGTTCTACAAGAAGACATCTGGTCTAAGGTTGGCTTTTATACATATGAATGTTAGTGTATTATGTATAGGTTTAGGGTTGACATAATATACTTGTTGACGTGTGCTGAGTCTGGGGTGTGTACTCTATTATTTTTTTCAGTCATTGTTTGCAGCTAGGTAAGGGATTACAAAATCAAAATAAAACGCGATAAAATCCGCTAAACTAGTTTCATTTAATATTTATAATATTCGCGTAAAATAAAGAAGTCAATAAGTAAGGATTGTCAAGTAATCACAATATTGGATACATTTGATCTCCGATACATTTTGTCTCGTGTAAGGTAACGTGCCAATTGGACGCAAATAGGAAAGTGTCGTTCGTTGTGGTGTTCTTAGGGGGATGATGATGATGCAAAACAATTTAACTTCAAAAGTACAACGCGACCGCAACCGTGGTAAAAGCTGCAGCTAATCACTGCAAGGAACTGGCGTCGACTACTCGACTGCGTCGCGGCTAACGGCCGTTTTCAATAACTTACTAACATTTCAGTGAAGTTTGCTGTCATATAGCAGTTAAAGTTACGGCAACTGTTACTGCTGTTTCAATAGCAAAAAGTGAAAACTTATCCGAGATACGAGATAGATGGCATGCCTATCTTTACTAGGTGCGAATCCATTCGAAGCGTTTAGTAGCGTGTAACGTGTAATGTAATAAGTACTTTTATGCTGTTTACAATTACATTCGTCTGTTTCACTTTTATTTTAGCTAATGATGGTACACAAAACACATTTCCATACCTATTGCATCAATTGTAACAAAAAAAGAAGACACGCTTTTGGTCGAGTTAAGTAAATCATACCAACGCACGCCTCGCGTCATTCCCATGGATATTATAGTGGCGGGCGCCGCGCCCCGCCTGGATCCGATTATCATTAGATTATTTTATCTTCAGCGCACGGAGAGGCGGCGCGTGAAGGCTTGCCGCGCCGCGACACGGAAGCAGTTGTGACGTTATTAAATGTACGTTACGTTTTTCTCGTTGTTTAATAGCGTTTTAAGCGGCCGCGTCGGCGACAAGTACGGGCTACGTTCTGGCGATGTAAAATTTGGTGGGAGTGAAACTGTGGTTTGTCGAAGTCGCAATCAGGATATGTTATACAAAAAAAAAAGTTTTTTTGTACGTTAATTCAGTAATAAAGTCTTTATAATGGTCTGTTCACGATACAGAAATTAACGTTTTGACCATGGATACAATTTATGCTTTTCAATAGAAATATACCCAGTTTCGGAGGGGAGTTATCATCACATAATCTTAACCTAGCCCCGCAACTGATTACGTTAAGTGATCTATTGATAAATCTATAAAAGTAATTGCATAGGTAGGTAGCGTCAAGGTGTAGAAATAAAAAATATGCATTTAAACATTCAAAAACTAGAGGAAACTTTATGACACATTGTTGCTTATTTGAGTGATAATTACAAATCTTGTCTACTAAGCATCTCAACTTATAAGTTCATGTTCATCTCG